TGTGTGCATACACATATACGTGCCAGCATGCGTCTGCGTGGATCTGTGCATCTGTGTATGTATGCGTATAAGAATGCACGCACGTATGTAGCACCTAGTCAGAAAGGGAGCCCAGCAAAAGCCAGTCCACCATATCTGTCCGCACCCACCAAACAAGCACTGACAGGACTACGCTGTAGGATCTCTTCTCCGTCTTGGGCTGTCTGCCTCAGCCAGGAGGGATCACGTACATATAAGGCGCTAGGCATAAATGCCTAGCGCCTTATATTTTTTACGTTTGTATCTAATACATATATTCCCATACAATCGTATTGTGTGTGTGTTGGCGCGGTATATATTCCAGGCGGAGTGCCATGCGTGAAGGCGCCCTTCACGATCTCACCAGACNGTGTGTTGGCGCGGTATATATTCCAGGCGGAGTGCCATGCGTGAAGGCGCCCTTCACGATCTCACCAGACTACCCGGGGTCTCTCGGCGCACTGCAGCGATTCTCTTTGACGAATACCTGATTGACAGCGCACAGGCCCTGCGGGACCACCTCGCTTCTCTCGCACCTGGGGCGTCACTCCCCAGCACAGTGGACCATCCTACAGCTCCGTCGGAGCAGTGGGCGGAGCCCGCAGAGGCTCTGCAGCAGCAGGACAAGGCGGCTGCACTGTTGAAATTATTCCCTACTGCGCTCAGCAGGGCTTGCGTCTTGCATGCAGACAGTTTTGGGGCTTCTATGGATGCCGTGGAGTTCGACGAGTGGCAGCAGCAGCTATTGTTGGTGCAAGAAAGCCTGAGGGAGGCGCCTGCGATGTCTCCCCCGCTGGTGCTGGACCTGCCTGAGACGGCGAGCCGTTCTGAAGGGTTGCGCGCCTTGCCCGTGTTGTCGCTTGGGGGTGGTATATTTCACGGGGGCAACAGAAAGCTCACAGCTCTGTCTTTGCAGGTTTCGCTGTTGCCGAGCTGGACAGAAGAAGAAGGCCTGTTGCCTCCCACTCTAGAACGGGCTATCTCAAACGGAGGCGAAGGCGCCGGACCTCGCGAGCTGCGCTGGGTGCAGCAACAGTGGGAACGCGTCTCCCAGGTCTTTTCCCGGCTGCGCATGCAGCTGCATCGCAGCGTTGTAGAGGCGCTGCAGCAGCGCCACCTCGTCAGCGAAGTGTTTTGCGAGAACTCCAGAACTAAGACAACGCATGCAGCAGGCNGCAGCAGCGCCACCTCGTCAGCGAAGTGTTTTGCGAGAACTCCAGAACTAAGACAACGCATGCAGCAGGCAGGCTGCCGTGGCACCAGGAGAGCTACAGACTGGTGAGGCTGTGTTTTATCACGTCCCGCCCGCAGTGCACCGATGCACATCATCACTCGGTAGTGCTGACTTGTGCAGTTCTGTGCTGGATCGCGGCAAAAAGCTGCATGCGGAATCCTAGGTTTGCATGCTAGGTTTGAGTAGCCTGGAGCTCACATCTGAGGCGCTTGAATGCTTGAATTTTAGACACGCAGGTGCCCCACGTGCATTCCAGGCTAGTCCTAGACCCTAAGCGCATAACCTGAAACACGGAGCCCCAACCCTAAAACATGAAATTCTAAACCCTAAACCCTTCAAAGCGCATGGACTGCCTGCATCTTTGAATGCGTGTATTCAGATAACCATCCAAAGCGTCCCGCCCCGCGCGTTCCCATTCGCCACGTTGGCTGCTCGCTGCTGTGCCTCTGCGTATCGGCGGTTGCAGCAGAAGGTGCAGCGGCAGTGGGGCTGTAGCTTGACCCCCAGTGGGATTGCGGTATCTGCCAACAAACCGTCTCCCCCGACCTCCTCACCCCTAAACGACACGGGGTCCCTCTCACCCCCCTGCTCAGCTTCTGCTTCGAGCGAAGACGGGCACGTCCCCCATCAGAGGTGTGAACCAAATGCTGCTGCTCCTGCTTTGGTTCCCTCTGCCTTGACAGAACAGGCCTGGTGGGTTCTTGACGAGCAGGGCGTCCTGCGACTCCTGCAGGAGCCCCTCTCGATGCAAGAACGCGTAGGCGACGTTACCGCCAGCAAGTAGACCTGCGGATGACTGCCTCCACTTCTGCGTAGTCTCTTTGCATCAGAGCTGATGCAGTTGATGTTGATGGAGCTTCGCGCAGAAGTGCTGTTTCTCTCTTGCATCCAACAACGAGCGGCCTTACGGCTAATTGCTGGGCACTCGACGAGGCGACAATTGGCTGCTCAAGCTCCAGCTGAGGCCGGAGGGAGCAGCTGGTCGTCGGTGTGTTCCATCAAAGGCCGTGGCCTCCTTAAGGATGTTTCTGCAGTGCCCGGGAAGCTGCGAGCTCG